GGAAACTGATGAGCCACCATATCTTAAATGAATGGTCTTAATTAAGATATTTGAAAATGCATAGGTTTTACTCATGTTATTAGCACATAATTTCTGAGAGGCCAAGTGGCTCCTTTGTTTCATTTACACAAGATGTGTTTAGATCTTAGGAACTTGAAACCAGCATTCTCACGCATTAGATTCTCACCTTCAGAAGGGTAATATCCTGAGGTCTTCATGAGTTTGCAATTTCAAAAATATATGAGAAACAGTACTTATTAATTTGGGGTCCGCATATTCGGCAGGGATGCACGTAGGTGAGATTCAGGAAATCTGTGACTCTCCTGATACTTAATTCATACTTTCATTTATTCAACATGTATTTGTTTGCTAATATCTAATTTGGGATTTTGCCATTGTTATTTTTGCGTGCGATTAATGTTCTCATGTGATTCCTTCATGGCATCTGCTCAGGCATTACTGGACTTTTATCCACGTATCATTCATCCATTTATTTAATTATTTGACCTTTATTCAGGAACTGTTAGGTGCTGAGCACTAGGGCTGTATCAGTGAGCAAAACAGAAACAAAGCTCTCATGGAGTTGACATTGTTTTAGGAAGAGTTAATCAGCAAAATGACAGGTAAACTGCAGTGGATGGAACATGACCGTGTGCCGCGGAGAAGGATGAAGCAGGAAGGGGGTGCTGGGTGCCACGTGTTAGCTGAGTGAAGAGTTGTCATTGCTGTTGTAAGAAACGGTCATAAATTCTGGATGTATTTGGAAGGTAGAACCTACAGGATTTATCGCAGGTCAAGACGTGAGAGAAACGAAAGAGCTAAGGATGGCTACTAGGATTTGATCTCAGCAACTGGAAGGATGAAACTAGTATTGTCTGGAAAAGGGGGACCTTCGGAGGAGCAGGTTTTGGTGTGGAGACCAAGGTTTGGTTTGGAGTCAGGAGGATTAGCGTTTGAGAAGAAATGGCACATAGGCAGTTCTTTCCACCAGATTGGAATTAGGGGAGAGGTTCCGGCTGGCAGTATCCACGTAGGAGTGGTCAGTATAGACAGTGTTTAGTGCTGAGGAGGTGCGTGTCCAAGAAAGAGAAGTGGCTCGAAGATTGTGCCCCGGCCCCTGCACTTAGAGGTGGGCACGGAGAGAGGAAGAGCCAGCCTGGGACGTGGAGATGGGAGAGAACTGGGGGGAAATGTTTACGTGCATGTATGTCTCCTTGAGGAGAGGATGTGTAGCTTTCTTTGGATTCTCTAAGAGATGAGAGATTCTGCTCCAAGACATTAGGAAACAGGGAATCTGTGGCCTGTAATTTTCCTCGTAAAGTATTGTACAGCAAAAGCAGAGAACAGCGCAGCTCCACAGAGATGTGTTTGCGGGGCCGGCTCACTTCAGACGAGCTGTTCTGTGGACGCTCTCCCTGGGAACTCAGCATGTTTCCCAGTCCCTGCTAGCCAGTCCCACTTGAGGAATGCGCCTCCCAGGGTTGGGATGAGGGTCAGCGGAGACGCTGTGCACGCCTGCCCGGCACAGGGGTGTCCTACAGCAGTGTTGCCATAGTGTCAGCTGCGGTGAGTTAGGCTGTTATCGGAATAACTGGAAGAGTAACTGTGTGCCTGGCAGAGCAGGCAGGTGTGTTCCAGGCACAGAGAGTGACAGCTTTACGCAGGCGGAGAAGGGTCCATCTCGTGTGAACAGAGCTTGGTTCTCGAGGTGGGGAGAAGCGGGAGGGGAGGCCAGGGTTGGCAGGGCCCAGGCGGCTCAGGGCCTGCTGGTCAGGCTGTTCTCTGAAGGGTGAGCTGTTTCTCTCTACATCACAGCCAATATTGTTTTGTCGGTGGTGGTTGGTTTTAATTAATAGATGTGACTGGTTTGAAAATCTTACTTTCAACTCATTAGAGAACCTTTTCTCATAGATTCAGGTGGTTTAATGGTACTCAGTTCTGCAAACAGATTTTCTACCGCTGACATGTAGACCAGAATCAATCCCAATTTCGTTTGTGGAATTGTCTTTTTAAGATCTGTATGAATATTGTTTGCTTGCTTTCTGTTTTTGATAGATAGCTTCACCAAACCAAATGCGTACATGAGAGTGAAAGTTCAGAATGTACGTGTGCTTTTCAGTCATCAGTTTAGCTTCGCCTTTAGAGCAACGTTAGTTACTTCCGCGTGGGCACCCAGCCTGGACTAGAGGTTGGAGTGCAGAGACTTCGCCAACTTCCCAGTGTGCTTACGGAATAAGCTTTTACTAGTACGTGAATAGGAATTTTAAAATTTATAATTATTTTAATCTTTAAAGTAATTTTCATCTATTCAGTAACTATCGAGGGGAAATAATACTGCATATTTATATGTTGTTTAGAGTAACTGTAGTATAGTCTCTTTTGCATTTTATAAACCAAAGGAGTGTGCGAACCAGCACGTAGACTCCGTGGTGACTCTGACTCGGAAGCAGTGGAAGGTTTCACGTGTCTCACGGCCTAGTAAAGAAAGTAGCACATAATAAATTTTCTTCCTGCTGTCTTTAGAGAAAGTTTCTGATAAATATTATGTCTGCTGGGGAGTTATTACAGGATTTACTAATTTTGAAATAAAATAATTCATTTAGGACTATAGACATTCTGAGCAGATTTTGATCTAACAAATTACTATTGCTGATAGTTTATAATTTTTTACATGTTAGAGAGCACACCTAGGTTCCATACCAAGTAAGCCTGAATGTGTAGTCTCGGTTGGTGAAGCTCACTAGCTTTTCCTGCATTCCCAGACGTTGTGTTTGTCACTGTGCCGTGAACCGCTGGCCTGAGCTCTGCATGTCTGGTTTGCAGGTGCGACTACTGCAGCAAGGGCTTCAAGAAGTCCAGCCACCTGAAGCAGCACGTGCGCTCGCACACCGGGGAGAAGCCCTACAAGTGCAAGCTCTGTGGGCGCGGCTTCGTCTCCTCTGGAGTCCTCAAGTCCCATGAGAAGACACACACAGGTCACTGTCTGACTTACACTTGGCAGTTATGTCTGTTGTGTTGTTTTTTTCTTGTTTTCCTAATTTTAATAGAATAGCTTTATTGAGCTGTAATCCACATTCCATTCAGTTCACCCATGTAAAGTGTGCAATCCAGTGGTTTTTAGTGTGTTCACAGAGTTCTGCAGCCATCACCACTGTCTAATTTTAGGTCATTTTTATCACACCCCAAAGAAATTGTGTACCCATTAGTAGTCACCCCCCATTTCCCCGCAACACTCCAACCCTAGACAGCTGCTGATCTAACTCTGTCTTTACAGACTTGCCTGATCTGGGCATTTCATGTGTCGGTAAATGGGCTCACCGGATACGTGGCGTGTTGTGCCCGGCTTCTCCCCTTAGCACGGCCGTTCACGGTTCACCCGTGTTGCAGCATGGGTCAGCGTCAGTACCTCGTCCCTTTTTATGGCCAAGTAACGCTCCGTTGTAGGGCGCACCACATGCTGTTTATGCATTCATCAGCTGATGGACACTTGGGTTGTATCCCTCTTTTGGCTGTGAATAATCCCGCTGCGAACATTGTGCACAGGTTTCTGTGTGGACGTGTCTTCATTTCTTTACCTAGGAGTGAGTTGTGTGGGCATCGGACACCTCAGTTAAAACTTCCAAGTTTACCAAACCGTTTTCCAAAGTGGCTGCACCATTTTACACGCCCACTATCAGTGTAGGGGGTTCTGATGGCTCCACATCCTTGCCAAAGGTTACAGTTGCTCATCTTTTTTGTGGTTGTCTTTTTTGTGACTGTCCTCATGAGTGTGACAAAGTCTCTCATGGTGGTTTTGAGTTGTGTTTCTCCAGTGGCCAATGACTTTGAACACCTTTGCGTGTGCTTGTTGAGAAATGTCCATTTTAATTCTATGCCCATTTTTAAAATAGATTGTCTAATTATTAAGTTGTAAGAGGTTTTATTAATCTATTTGGCTACTGACCTTTATCAGATATATGGCTCGAAGTTAAATATATTTTTAATGTATTACTTTTATCTGTCAATACCTTCAATGTATTTGTTTGGTATATTAACTATATGTTTAATATCAATGTGTATTTTGTATAAGGCTTTATTTGAAAATGAATGTAAATCACTTAGAAATAGACAGGCACATAAAAGAAGGAAAGGTTTTACTGACTAGTCCATAGGTCGGTGATTGGAAAATGGTTTTAGTGGCTATTGGAAAGAATGTCTGAGAGCAGTTTATGCGTTGCTTTGAAGGCCCTGTAAGGAGGCAGAGAGAAGCAATGTATGACTTTTGCAGGTGTAGGGGGAGGAAAGACAGGGAAGAGAAGAAAATCCCCTTCCTAGCTAGTTACTGACTTCTATGTCCTTGGTCCAGAGGAGAGAGAGGGTCTTCTGTATGGACTTTATTTAAAATAAAGCTGTGTATAGGCTTTATCCTACTCCTTAGGGCCTAATCTATGTCATTTGCTGTGGGAATGATGAAAAGATAGATTTGAAAAAACATTTCTGGGGTAGAATCCACAAACACGTTGCCAGTTTAAATGTAAAAGACTGAGGACAGGGAGGACTTGAATTATTTTGGGAAGTGGGACTTCTCGGGGGCTGTCGATTCCAGGGGAGAGGGCAGTGAGGTCTCTGTCCGTTTCCATGTTCTTAAGACTCTTCAATTCCTAAAACCTGGAAACCACAGCAAATAAACTGTCTTCAGTGTTGTGACTCACTGAACAAATCTTCGTTTGCTTTTGACTGCTGTGGTGCTGAGGTAACGAAATGCGGTTTCCCAACCCTGTTTTCTGTCGTTTCTGCCGTCACAGGGGTGAAGGCGTTCAGCTGCAGCGTCTGTAACGCCTCCTTCACCACCAACGGCAGCCTCACCCGGCACATGGCCACACACATGAGCATGAAGCCTTACAAGTGTCCGTTCTGTGAGGAGGGGTTTCGAACCACGGTTCACTGTAAAAAGCACATGAAGAGACACCAGACAGTCCCCTCTGCCGTGTCAGCCACCGGAGAGCCCGAAGGAGGAGGTATTTCCCATTTGTTGGTTCAAGGCTTATTAACCAGATGCTGATTTAGTAATAAGTTAATTTATAAGTCACTTTGAGTATTTTAACCTGGCTGTGCACAGCTTAAGCTCAGTAGCAACCACCTCGAATTTGAAAAAATTAATTAATTTTATTTTCTGATTATTATGAAGCTGTATGTGCTTTTGGAAGAAAAATTGAGAGAGGCACAATAAAAGAAAACATCTACTTGTACTAATCACCACACACAGAATTGTCAATAGCATCCACTCTAACACTGTGTTCTTCCGACTCTACTCATGCATTCACGTAGGTAGGGATTTTTATTTTTTAACGAATATGATATCATGCTATATACAGTGTTAAAATCGCCTTTATTTTCCCTCCACTGAACTTTACATATTATAGGCATATTTAATATGTTAAACACAGATCAGTTCAGATGACTACATGGAATTGCATCATTTTTTATTGTTTAATTTCCTTTGACAGACGTGTAGCTAATATCTGGTCTTTCACTGAAATGGTAGTCGCATTTTTGGAGTATTTTAACCCTTGGCAAAACCTATCACCATTACATTATCTCATTTAAGTGACAAGACACTGCATAGTTTGAGGGATTAATCTCATTTTGTACATGAGCCAAGTAAACATTAGACACGTTGATTTGTCCAAGTCCCGTATCAAGTGGAATTCTAAGCACGCTATTTTTGTGCTTATGCTTTTTGTATTTATCTGATGGCGTCTTTTTAGTAAATTCCACAAGTGACACTTCAGTGTTAAGAATGTGCACATTTTACCTCTTGGCACGTAACGCCAGCACACAGCGTCGGGGTTTTTAAAACCAGTGTTAGTTCTCACACCCGTGTGAGTCATGCTGCCCTGAGCGCACATTGTGGGTGGACTCCTGCCTGTGCCACGGCCAGCGCCGTCCTGTCCTGGCGCGGCTGGTGCTCGGTGTTCGTTGCACGGGTGTCGTGTCCCTGACGGCATGGAGACAGAGGTGCCGTCACCTTGGTGGTGTCCTCGAGGTGCGACCTGCTGGCGACTCCTTGGCCGCCTTCCCAGGTGCTCATGCCGGCACTGGCTCTGCGCATATCTGACCTCAAGGTCACAGCAAGACCTTCCGGTCCCTAACGTGTCAGGCTGAAGTGATGGCAGTGCCGCTTTCTCTTACATTTTGAGGAATAAGTCTTTGCAGTTTGCCTAACCTACCTTAAAGTAGCAAGAACTCTGACTTTATCCATGGCCAGAGCCTCAGCCCATCTCATGTCCTCAGGAGATAATTCTGAATACCCAAGTCTCTGACCTGCTTCGCTTAGTGAAATGGTTCAGACTTTTCAATCTGGTGGTACTCAGCAAAGTCTTTATTTTCATTTTTAAAATTCTGTCATGAGAATTAGTAAAATTTAAAAAGAAAATAACTCTTTTCCTTCGAAGGAACTAAAGAATACAGGCTATCCAGGCATATTTCTGGACCCCTGTGGTTTGGAGAGTGTTAGCTGGTCAGCCGAGATGCATCGTCTTCCCTCTGATTACATATCCTTCCCATCGATTAATGAAGCTCCTAATGCCATTGAGTCTCTGCTGTTAGGGTTGGCTGGGGGGCTCTGTTGGGGCTTCCCCGCTACTATGTATGTATTCAGATACACCTTTATGTATTTTGTTTTCTTCTCTTGGATCATTGGGGAAAAAAACAAAAAATTTTCTACTAACTCTCTTGTCCACCGGAAAAAAGTCACTTGTTAAATTGTGTCACTTTACCCAAACCGAGAGCTTTGTAATTGGATTTAATTCCCTGACATTTATCGTGACGTTACCCTGTTTGACCAAACACGTGCCACCCTGTCGTGTGCCTTCTGCTCGTTGTGCCTAAGTTCGCTGCCCTTTCTTCCTCCGTGTCTGTACTACGTTGATTGTGTTCTTGGTTACTTAAGAAACTTTAACACAGTTATCTCCGTATTTCTTTGTGGGTGTTGGTGGGGGCCAGTGTTTATAACCTGCCCTCACAGCTGTCCAGGTTTTACTGAAACAATGTGGGAGCTAAAGCTCACTGTGTTTTTTCTGGCATTTCTACCATGTGGGTGTTCACCTAGCGACTCCGTCCTCTGTGACTGACTCCCCCAACCCACCCTCTTCCCCTACTTCCCTCTTTCTCCCGCCCTCCTTCCTGCCCTCCCATTTACACTTTTTGTTCTATGAAAAACTGTCGATTTGGTTTTTTAATTCACTAATTTGGTTTCAGCTGTCCATTTTGCTATTTAATGTTTCTGTTTTAAGGTTTTTTTACTCACTTGTGCAATAAGGACCTCCCTGCTCTCAGCCAAATGTTTTTTCGTTCCCTGTTACGATTTAACAGCAGTATATTCTTGTTTTTAATCAGTTGTAATATATCCCTACATTTCACTGAGAGAATCCTTAGGGATATAATTGTTTCTCAGTGTCTGTGGGGGGTTCATTCCAGGACCTGCAGATACCAGAACCCTAAGTCCACAGATGCTCAAGACCCTGATGTAAAGTGGCCTCGTAGTATTTGCATGCGATGTCCCCACAGCCGCCTGCATGCTTTGAATCATCTCTAGATTGTGATACCAATACGACGTAAATGCTGTGGAAACAGTTGCTTTATTGTTCAGAAAATGATAATAAGAAAAGGTCTGTGCATGTTTAGTACAGATGCAACCATTTTTTTTTTTAATGTTTTCGATGCGTGGTTGGTCGAACCCACAGGTGTGGCCCCCATGGTTGTGGAGGACTGGCCGTGTATGTTTTTTAAGTTTTATTTTCTTGTTTACAGTAAGTCTTTTTAACTGGGGGCTATTTGCTAATTTAGCAATTTGGTCTGCCGTTTGCAGGCTTCTGGTTTTTTTAATCTGATGATAATTCATTTTCTGCCTGTGATAATAAAGGAGCATCTGTGTTTGTGAACACTGGTAGCTGGTGCGGACGCTGACGATTGCAGAGCTCACAGCTAGATGGCAGTAAGGGGTGGAAGTAGATCTCTATCAATAGCACCTTCTGAATGTGGGTGCCAGCTCCCCGAGACATGGCCTTCACCTGGGTGTTTTCATTCATGATCTTTCTTAGTTTCTTAACAGAATGGGGGTGGCAGCTCTCTACCATCGTAAACATAGCTCAGTTGAGTTACTCATTTTAACTTTATGTATGTACCTTTTTAGTTTTAATTTACTTGTTCTGTTAAAGCTTAAGTTTTTTATTAGGATTTTAATGCCTTTTCCTTTGTTTTGTTTAGACATATGTATGGAGGAAGAGGAGGAAAATTCTGACAGAAACGCATCGAGGAAGTCTCGTCCTGAGGTCATCACTTTCACAGAGGAAGAGACGGCCCAGTTAGCCAAAATTCGGCCCCAGGAAAGCGCTACGGTGTCTGAGAAGGTCCTGGTGCAGTCAGCGGCAGAAAAGGACCGCATCAGCGAGATGCGAGACAAGCAGGCGGAGCTGCAGGACGAACCCAAGCATGCCAACTGCTGCACCTACTGCCCCAAGAGCTTCAAGAAGCCCAGCGACCTGGTGAGGTGAGGCGCGGCCTGTGCTCCTCTCGGGTCTGCTCGGAGGTGTCAGAGCATATGCCTGGGCTGTTGGATAATCTCCATTGCAGAGGGGCAGGTAGTTCTGAACCTGCTCTATTGCACAAACATACCAGATTTATTTCTCCGGAGCTATAATGATGAACATTGAATTTCGGTGTTTAATGACTGGCAAGGTACTACTTTCTGTGCGTCTGCAAGAGCCTCATGGCCCAGGCTGGTGGAGTCCGGCAAAGGGCCACCAGAGGGTTGGAAGCTCACGTCCTTCGGAGGCTCTGAGCGCATGTTTTCAGACCGTCCTACTAACAGGATGTGGGGAAATGATATCTGTGATTCTAACGTACCCTTCGTTGATTCTAAGTATAGTTGAACACCTTCCCATATGTCTTTTAGCTGTTTCTGTTTCTTCTTCTGTAAACTGTGTATTTCCCATTTTTCTACCCTGATATTGGTTGTCTTCCTGCTGATTCATAAGAATTCTTTCGTTTTTTAGAAAATTGGTCCTGTTTTTGTCGTGCAAATATTTTTATTCTTATTTTGTTCTTATTCTTATTTGGATTTGTTTATGGTGTTTTTTGTATAGAATGAAACTTTAAGTTTTTATTTGGCCAAATTTAATCAGAACATACTAACACATAATTTTTATTTAAATGGTTAGTTATAAATTTCAAATCATGAACTTGTTTGTAAATGTGTATATAATTAAAAAGAAAAACATCTAATCACAAGTGTTTCTGGGATAGGCACGTTCGAATCCACACTGGAGAAAAGCCGTACAAATGTGACGAATGCGGCAAGAGTTTCACGGTCAAATCCACGCTCGACTGCCACGTGAAGACTCACACAGGTGAGGGACACATAACTGCATTGTTGGTAGATGCCTTATGATAGCATTTTATATTTTTTGTTCCTTTATATTTTGTATACATAAATATTTTCAAAATTACAGAAAGTTTAAAAATCAGGAACCATGAAGAAATGGATATAAAACTGTTTTATTCCCAAAATAGGGAAAACTATCTAAATAACACTCAGAAAAAAGGATTAGGTCACAGAAGTTGAGTTAAAAGTTGTCTTATATTCTTACTCCTGCTTGAATATCCTTGTTCATGAAAGATTACCTCTTAGTCTCATTTCAGCGAAAGAGATTTGGTGTGTTGAGGTTTTGTAAAAACTCTGGCGACTAAGCAAATCTGATGATAGTTATCAGATTGTAATTCTTTTTATGTATGGAGGAAATCTCATGAAGGGAAAAATAAATGTCTAATTTTCATGGACTTTTTCTTGTCTTCATCTAATTTGATGAACTGAAGGTCGATTGTATTAATCAAAATATGTTAGGCCTTTGCTTCTTGAATTCTGCACACAGGGCTTCCTGGTGGTTGCGAGGCTGGCTCTGTGCCTCTGCTCATGTGTGAACTCTGCTCCGCAGTGAGCTCTGGCCCTAGATGAGAGGTGCTTCTCTAAGCTGTACGTTCCTCGTGTAAAATGGGGCTAATGATAGCTACTTCCCTCACTGGAAGTTTAGATGCCTCAAAACTGTGGTCTCCAACCTCCAGGCCGTGGCCCGGTACTGTTAGGAAACGGGCTGCTAATCATTGCCTAAGCTCTGTCCCCAGTCCTCCTCCCACCATGGAAAAATTGTCTTCCAGGAAACTTAGGAACCTGGGGGGCCACACAGCAGGAGGTGAGCGGAGGGCCAGTGAGGGAAGCTTCATGGGCATTTACCGCTGCTCCCCATCGCTCCCGTCACTGCCTGAGCTCCAGCCCAGCCAGCCCCTCGCCCCCACCCCCAGGCCATGGAAAAATTTCTTCCATGAAACTGCTCCCTGGCTCCAGAAAGGCTGGGGGCCATTGCATTAATGCATTTAAATAGCTCAGAGACGTGTTTGGCCTTTGGCAACCTCACAGTGAATGGAGAGCTGTTGCTATTATGATTATCAAAGTAATTTATATTTTTAGATTTTGGTTATAAGCAAAATTGAACAAGTACAAATGGAAGTTCGCACATTTATATGAAGCACTGTGATTCTTTTCTGATGGGTTAATATTTAGAACTAAATACACAGATATGTGGACTTACTTAACATGACCCTCCTGTGTACAGTTTTCCTGTCGCTTCGTTGGGTCCCTGTATTTGTCCATCTTGTGTAACACTGTGAGCTCACGCAGGGCGAGGGGGGACCAGCCTTCCTTACCTTCGCACCCCCAGGTCTAGAGTGTTGGCTCACACAGTAGGCGCCCCGTTATGTTCAGGACAGCCCGGCACATGCTGCTCGGTTGTCTGCTTGCTTCGGCAGTTCCGCGCAGGCTACGTGGAGAAGGGGTGGAGAGAGAAGGCTGCGCAGAAGTGTCCTTCGGAGCCTCTTTCTTTAGTCTGAAGTGATGGTGTGATTTCTGATGCCACAGAGCAGTTTCAGGATAACAGGTGTCACTAGTCCCTCCGCGGATCCTGGTGCGTGCCATCTCTTGTAAAAACCAGCATTGTTGCTGGGCCGGTAGAGGGAAAAACGAAAACCAGGAAGTTTTCTACTCCCAGAGGCTCTTGCAGGGCAGAGTCATTGCCAGTGGCCCCTTTGTGGCCTTGTCATACCCGGTGATCATGGAAAGCACAGCATCTAAGGGACGAGGTACGTGATGCTGACACGCTGATCTTTGACTCTCAAAGGGAGTTTCCTTTCCATGTTCTGCACGTGTGAGGCCTGCGCTTGTGTTTTGGTTGCCCCGTTTGGCAGAACAGACCATGGGGAGATGGCGAGGTGTTCAAGCGCCCTCTACGGAATCAGAGAGGGGCGACGGCAGTGCAGAGCGGGGCTGGGGCCCACCCCACCCACTGCTTCTGGTAAACAGGAGCCAAGTGCTGCAGGGTCAGTGGGTGGGTCAGTAGGCGCAGTGGTTAGAGGCACCCCAGGCCTCAAGGGCTGGGAGAACACCAGATCCAAATTGTGAGCAGGGTGCCGCTAATATCCACGGCAGTCGCCTGCTGCGTCATAGTCTCGCAGGTGAGATGCTGCTCACGGCACTCCCACCCCCGGATCCCGCACGCCTGGCCGGCGGGGGGTGCGGCTGCGCTGTCCTCGCCCTGTTGACGCTGGGCTGGCCTCCCCACAGGGCAGAAGCTCTTCAGCTGCCACGTCTGCAGCAACGCGTTCTCCACGAAGGGGAGCCTGAAGGTGCACATGCGTCTGCACACGGGAGCCAAGCCTTTCAAGTGCCCCCACTGCGAGCTACGTTTCCGCACTTCTGGGCGGAGGAAGACGCACATGCAGTTCCACTACAAACCAGACCCGAAGAAAGCCAGGAAGCCCGTGACGCGGAGCTCCCCCGAAGGGCTGCAGCCTGTGAACCTCCTCAGCCCGCCTCCCAGCGACCCCAGCGTGTTCATCATGAACAACTCCGTGCTGACCGGACAGTTCGATCAAAATTTGCTGCAGCAAGGGCTGGTGGGCCAGGCTATTCTTCCTGCCTCCGTGTCAGGTACGTGCCGAAGCTGGGAGTGGCACAGTGACCGTGCGATACGCATCGCATTGTCTGTTCCCATGATGGAGCAAACAGCGTTTCCAGCAACAGGCGGGGGAAGAGGGAAACTTCGTCTTTCAGACGTAGCTGCCTTCTATCTCCCATTCTGTCTTCTGTGACGTCTGCTTTTTAACACCTAGCGCTTTCTTTAGCTTTTCTTTCTAATGCGTTTACACTTGGTTTTTCTCAGTTGGCGCTCCCATAAATTCGGTGGTGAGGTGTGTGGTTTACACATACTCGTTAACATTGTTTTTAATGCGATGGAGTTATCCAGTTGCTCTCGGGCCCGTGGTGCTTGGACAGTACTCCGTTTTGGTCGGGGGGTTATTTGTGTACTTGGAGCGAGCGCGGCAGCTGTGAGGGTGAGCAGACGTCCCGAGTGCCTTCCTTTCTGCTTCTGTCACTTGTGGCTTGATTGCAGCCTGACTGCAGTTGGCTGTTGTCGTTCTGAACCTTGGACTAATCAGTGGAATCTGTTTCCTGATATGTTTCAAATGAGTCATACCATTTCACAGAGTTTTATTTTGTGACGAATAAGTTACATAATGTGTGTGGTGTAATGTAAGTATTAGTATTTCTTAACGAGAGCATATTGATGTATATAGAACTTACATATTTAGCAATCCCTGCGTAAATAGGGAATTCCTTTAGTTTCGAGAAGCGTGTATAATATTCGGTCATTCCCTTTCTCTTTCTCTGGCCAGCGGGGGGTGACCTGACGGTGTCCCTGACAGACGGGAGCCTGGCCACCCTGGAAGGCATCCAGTTGCAGCTGGCCGCCAACCTGGTGGGGCCGAACGTTCAGATCTCTGGGATCGACGCCTCCAGCATCAATAACATCACGTTGCAGGTACGGCTCCCGCCTGGTTTGCTGTGCTGTCGTCGTGTCGCAGACACCGGCAGCAGGGAGTTTTCATGGCAGGTGTCTGTGTCGCTTCCCAGATCGACCCAAGCATCCTGCAGCAGACGCTGCAGCAGGGCGGCGTGCTCACGCAGCAGCTCACGGGCGAATCCAGCGCGGCCCCACAGAACAGCGCTCTCCAGACGCCGGACGGCACGGTCCCCGCCAGCGTGGTCATCCAGCCCCTCTCAGGCCTGTCCTTGCAGCCCGCGGTGACGTCTGCCAACCTGACCATAGGCCCTCTGTCCGAGCAGGAGTCCGTGCTGGCCACCAGCAGCAGCGGTGAGAGCCTTTCACTCTTGCTGGTTGCACAGCTGGAGTTTCAGGTTCCTGCTTAGAGCTCGTAATTGCAGTTAGGGCGTTCTGATGTCACTGTCTTCTCTTTGTAAAGCTCACCAAATAAATCAAGCATCCTTAGATTTAAAAAAGCCTTTCTTAGGATTAATGGTGCTTATTCAGTACATTCACGTAGATCGCTACATTCACATAACGATTCTTTCCACACTGGCTTCCCACCTCGTCACAAGGCCTTCTTGCTGTTCTAGATGATGGAATTAGAGGTGACTGATATTTTATTCTGAGGTGTTCTCTTTTTGCCATAACATTTTAACTGAAATATTTTTAACATAAGAAAGGAGAAAAATGTTTTTTTAAAACTGTACTTTGTTTTGCTTTGTAACGATGATCAGGGACCCAAGACCTCACCCAAGTGATGGCTCCGCAGGGTCTAGTGTCCCCCTCCAGCGGGCCCCACGAGATCACCCTGACCATCAACAACTCGAGTCTGAGCCAGGTCCTGGCTGCTGGACCCTCCGCCACGGCGTCGTCGGGGTCTCCGCAGGAGATTACCCTGACTATCTCTGGTTAGTAAGTTAATGCTTTACACGTCCTTTCACCTGCAACTTAAGTCCTGTGTGTCTTACTGGTATCTCTCTTTCCACGACGCCCGGCTTTGCACGAAGGCAGTGCTCAGTAAGTATTTGTAATTTACACGAGAAGTTCAAGTTTAGTGAAAATAACGTGTTAAAATTCAAATCTAATGCCAGAAATTAAAAATTAGAGTTTCTCATTCCAGTTGGAGTCAAATCAAACTAATTAATTAATTTTTAGAGAGTAAGTTACTTCTGTCACATTTTTTGTTTGGCAAAGAGCAGAAAACGTAGCTTCGTGATTCTTACTCACGCGCCATTAAACTAAAGGCGGCTCGTTGGTATAAACTGTGCACTACGACGCCATAGCTGCCTGCGGTACTGCCCTTCTCTGATGTCTTCAGAATTCTGTTGAGATTACGTAGAGATATTGAAAATATGGTAGAACTCGAGAAGTAGATAAACAGGTAGAAAATACCATTTGGCAGTAAAATTGGCGAAGTAATCCTACGCGTCAGTCACCAAGCTAGCTTGCTCCCTGTCCGGGCTGTGACGTTCAGTCAGATTTTCCTCCACATTTGCCTTCCTCGCTCCTTACGTCTCCCTGGTTCTCATCGCATGCTCTTCTCTACGTGAGCCTGGGGCGTGTTTTCCTGCTGTGCTTTGCCCACGTGATTCTTAGCTATGAGCTTGTCATGTTAACTCGAGCCATTTTTCAATTCAACAGCTATTTTCCTAGCCCTTACTATGTGCCAGGCTTTATCCTAGTGACTTCTACAAATACTAACTCATTTAATATTAATTCATTTAAGCCTCGTAACTACCTTATGAAGTCGTTAAGGAAAACATTTTGTTGGAAATCAAAATAACCCCCATGGAAATACAATGTGGTGAGGGGAGCGCCCCATGTCCCCTGGAAACCTGCCTAAGAGTGGCAGAGTCTGCCGTGAGATTTATCAGAATGGTATTTCTGTTGTTTCAGTGAGACTTCTGTAGAAATTAATTTTGGAATTGAAAGAAAAGGTATTTAGAAGAAAACCCAAACCTTTCTTTTTCAGGAGGGTGTCTATTTCTTTTAGTATGTGAGAAATTTGAGCAACTGTCTTTATACAGAGCTTTGCTTTTAAATGACATGCAGTGATTTTTTACATGCTGCTGGACAGCAGAAATGAATATTGAATTTTATATAATCCAGTAATCTTCCTTTCATTATATGTGTATCTGGATTGTAATGTCGAAAATACAGAAGAGTTATTTTAAGGCAGCTGTTCTGTTGATAAAATTGACTTTATTTTTGAGTGCCCTCGACGTGGGAGGCATCGTGCGTGGCATGTCCTTACTAAAGACACGTGACGCACAGCTCTTGCCTGTCGCTCAGAAACTGTGTTACGCAGCTTGTGGACTGTGCTGCTGTTTCTCCTGTATTTTCCTATCTTTGGTCATTTGGTTATCTTATTACTTACTAGTGATATTTGAAAGTGTATGTGATTATAGCTGTAATCTTTTTAAATTTGACTTTAAGGTTTCTTGTTTTCTTCTCACTGTGATGGATGATGAGAATTGGCTGTAGTGCATCCTAAGTCAAACTTTCCTAATCCCATTCTGAAAGGCGTATAGAAAGCATTTAATTTATGGTCACCTGTTGAAAGCATCTAGATATTCTATAGAAATTTTCAGTTATTTTGTAGGATATTCTTTTTCCATCAATGCATAGAGTTCTAAATGCTTACAAACACTAGGAAATGCAGATATTACTTCAGTTAAGTTTTACAGTTTGGCAGTTCATGAGTCCTGCATTTGGAGAAGAATAATTAAATATTGGGTAAAAAGCAAGGACAGTCCTTTGCCTCCCTGAGTCATCTTGTATAAATACAATGAAAGCCCTCTTCCCTGATGTTTTCAGCCCAGTTTTAATAAAAAACTTTATAAAATAGAGAATCAGAAAGTGACACCTACATACTTTGAACATCCATCCATGGATCTTTCGAATATGGGTCTGCTCTGCTGATAATACATTTTCCATATTTTCCTTTTGCTTGTACTCACGCCCATGATGCAGTTTCTGTGTCTTCAGAGCGGCATGAGAATGTAGGTGATTATCAAGCAACCTCAGTGCAGCGTCCTTCTGTCTATTGATGCTTTTCCCCTCTGCTTTTGTACGGTTGTCTTGCTTACCCTAGTTTGAGAGCAGAGTTTTCAAAGCATCTTGCCTTTATCATGTCTTTCTGAAGCGTTCAGTTTGGTTTTCGTTGGAACTTTGACAGTTTTTATTCTCACATTCATTTCTCGTTTCCATACTATTTGGTTACATTATATGCTTGCAGCCGCTAATAAAGCTGGAGTGAGCTGGCGAAGCAAGTGTGTTTCGGTAGGTTGTGTGGCAGGCGTGTTAGCGCGCCCGTGAGCGTTCAGAGCCAGGAAGGCAGGAAACACTGAAACACGTTTTTCCTTCCGCTGGCAGCCCATTACATTTGGAAATATTTTCAGTGAAAGTTTTATTCAGCAAAGTATGTGATTTTAAGTGCCTAGATACTGAGTTAAAGTAGAACTCTTAAGAAATATTTTAAAAATACTTTATAGCTTAAAATGTGTGAACAAATACTGTCATTTAGGGAAATGTATTTTGTGATCCCATTTTCATTTTTTCTATATATATTAAAATGAAAGCCTTGAGGATGCTATTACATGTTTAACGTGCTTGCCAATGCGTAAGTTAGAATGTTACTTTCAGATATCACGGTATTTATTTCTGTGGAGGTCACGGTCTTACTCAGCACAGTTTTTTTTTTTTTTTCGAGACAGAGTCTCACTCCCTTGCCTGGGCTAGAGTGCTGTGGCGTCAGCCTAGCTCACAGCAACCTCAAACTCCTGGGCTCAGGTGATCCTCCTGCCTCAGCCTCCCGAGTAGCTGGGACTACAGGCATGCGCCACCATGCCCGGCTAGTTTTTTCTGTATATTTTTAGTTGTCTGATTAATTTCTTTCTATTTTTAGTAGAGACGGGGTCTCGCTCTTGCTCAGGCTGGTTTCGAACTCCTGAGCTCAAACAATCCGCCCGCCTCGGCCTCTCAGAGAGCTAGGATTACAGGCGTGAGCCACCGCGCCCGGCCATCAGCACAGTTCTGATGGAAGTAGTGAGCTAAGTGGAAGCGTAGGGTTGTTGGCACCGGCAGTGAGTCATCGATCCACAGGTGCCACCTTGGCTCTCACAGAGTGTGACCTCAAACTCCTCAGGTACACGGCTAATGACGTAGCCAGGAAAGACATTCCGAGAGATCATAGTTAAAGACCCGTGCACTTAGTATGGAGAGAATAAACCATCTTTAGCACGGCAGACTTTCTGTTTTGTCACGTGCAGTAGCATTCCGTGAGGATCCGTGGCTTATATATAATTCTAGGATACAGAATGCTGTCTAGAGTTATCAACCAATTGATAATTCTACTTTTTAAGTAATGAAAGTAAATAATTTTATTCAGTGTCACAGGCATTGCATTTATGCAGATTCACGAAGCCGCCCCGTCTGACCGAGCACTGAAGTCTCTTAGCGGGGAGGAGTTGCTGGCACCAGCTGGCCGTGGCAAGCACACTGGGGAGAAGGCAGCTTTCAAAGACTGTGAAGTATAGACTTACAAAAAATAAACCTATTAGTGAATGAGCACAAGTGAAACGTTACAGTTTCATAAGTAACCATTAACAGTTTAGGATAACATGTCTACCTAGTTCTCTTTACCTTGTAGAGAACCTTATTTTCCAACTCTGTATATCAATTTTTGAGAAACAACAATTAGTCTTCAGATATATTTGTACCCAAAAGCTAGACTTTCTTCTTTTTTTTAGACTTTTTTTCATGCTTAATTGACATCCTCTCTTGTCTAGTAATTCATTTATTCAATAAAAGATTGTGGTATGCACTGCGTGGTAAGAATTGTATGAAATCTGGGAATAGTTAGCAAAGTAAACACAGGCGCCTGCATTTTGGATCTTAGGAACGAATAGGGTGAAGACGTTTTTTGAAGAGTCCATAAATCAGCGTAAAATGACAACTGTATCAGTAGGAGAGAGGCAGGGGCTGAGAGAGCAGGCCACGGGGCTGGGCCCTGCGGGGACGGCTTCTCTGGAGAAGCCCAGCTCAGCCGAGGAAGGACCTCACTCTCCAGATGGGGCCAGCGTTCCCCCCCAGCCATAGTGCGGTACTGGCGGGCATGTGGGGGCTTTTGCTGAACCAAAGAAGGCCCGTTAGCTAAAGCAAGGAGGCCTGGGCCACTCGGGACCTTAGGGGAACTTACTGTCCACCACCTGCCCCCAGCTTGCTGAGGGGTGGCTGAGAGCCCGGGGGAGCCAGACGTAGGCACAGTCCCAGCAGATGCCGCGTCTGAGCGCCTGGGCCGCGGTCTCACCCGGTTCTCCTTTATCCGTCCATACGTTTGTTTGACTTGGGGGCTCTAAAAAGCTGTATCATAGCACTTATTAATCGGAAATCAGAGAGGCAGTGTGTTTTCTTTTGTTTTTTAATTAAGGGCAATTTTGTTTTATGTTATAATTGACAACATTCTAGTACATTCGGGTTATAATTTAGTCTATCATGAGTAAGGTGTCCAAAATATATCAGGTACTATTAAAGTCACATAACAAACTTTTAAAAAATTTTTTCTAAGGGTCGTGGTTGGTGTTTGCTTTTTTAAAGGCTTAGGCAGTGGTGTCTTTGCTTATCATCTCTAGAATTCTAATCCCAGGCTGTGAGTTTGTCATTGTTCCCAGTCTGTGTGGTTCCCGTTGTGCTATGGAGATGTGCTAATGTTACAGCAGGGCTGACCGAGAATAGACCCAGAGACACACACGGAGATATGGCAAAACAGGTTTTACACTTTACGCTGGCCGGCAGTTGGCCCAGAGGGGAATTTGCTCTCGAAATTCTGAGCACCAGACAAAGAGCATTGCAGTCTTTTATACCCTCTGCTTAAGGAGGAGGGGCACGGCTATAACAGGGTTAACTTTAGTGAGGCAGAGTCCTAAGCTACTTCAGGCCTGGTACACTAATTGCTACAGGTGATTTCTGAGGGCGCAGCTGCGGAAGGTGGGAGTTGCAAGGGAGGAAGCCCAGGGAAGGATGCAAGGGAGAAAACCTGGTAGTGGAATTTTTCAATTTTCCACTTCACTTCCTGTGTGCGGGCCGGGGTGAGTGGGTGTCCCTGGTGTGCGGGCTCTGTCTGGAGGCCACAGGGATACAAGGGTCCTCAAGCCTGGTCCTCTGGGGAGGAGACCGGCATCAGCGATGGGGCCCGTGTCTTCCTGGCAGCCCTGCCTGGCATCCTTGTGAGCCCTTGGCAGACCGATGGAGAGACAAGTAGAGCTGTAGATGTTTTCCTCTAAGTGGAGTGTTTTTTTGTGCTTTTTGGTGATCTGGATGTTTGCTGGTGCAGCAGATTACTTAATTCAAAATCGAGGATGTCCGGACAGAATGGAACAGTCGGGTGGAATGAGAACACGTGAACTCCGAAGGCTGTGTTTCAGCTGCCAACGTTGCTTTAAATTCCTGTGATCTGGCCAGCTCGGCAGTCCAGGCGTACCCGTAACTCTGCCTCCACGGACACGTGCTGGTGGAGCATCCTGCCAGCATCTCGTCTGCAGGCGCAGGTTCTCTCGGGGCAGCAGAGCCGTCCTCAGCACGTACAAGGCTCTCGTGGGTCAGACAACGGATGCTGCTCAAACATAGCAACATACCCTTTTTGCTGGTTCAATTTTTTTCTTTTCTTTAGTCTTTTAGACTTTTTTTTTGATTTAGAGCCAACTGAGAAAATTTGTCTCTTTTATGTTGCTTTAGCTTGTATCCCAGATGTTAAATTGAAAAAAGAAAAAGAATTTCAAGGGATTTGGTAACATTGTAAAATAAAAGATGAGCTGATAATTAGAGAACATTTGTGTATTAATGTAATATCAGCTATTCTTAAGTACAGGATTAATCTTGCATGATAAGTGAGCTGTATTATGTTCTCAGATACCTGTGGCATCTTTGAATAATCTTGTATATAGGAAGAGATCCGTTATACATTGACGTACTCAATCTTGGATATTGAGCAGATATTTTTAGGGTGGTTTGAATATCCCATTAGTCCCAGTTGTAATTCTGTAGCTGATCCCACCTCTACAGTAGCAGTTAAGAGATTGCCTCTTAATGGGCAGTATTTATTATCTAGAGTCAGGTCAGTCCCAGATCTAGCCTCAGGCCACATCAGTAAGAATTAAAATTTCAATGACATTGTTTTGAGATTAAACATGGCTCTTCTAAGGTAAACACTGAAATAAAAACTCTTGCCAGTCCTTTATATCAGAGCGTAATGAAGGTGCTGTGGCTGTTATCATTTCTGAATTCTCTGTTAAGCAAGGTTTGGTTAAGACTTTTCAGCCTGTGGCTGTTTGCATCTTAATGGAAGGCACTGAAAGAAGAAGTGTATCGCCTCGTAGGGATTTACAGATAAATCCAAGTGAGGCCTTTAGTCAGAGTTTCACGGGCAGGATAGCAGCACACGCTTTCGTTCAGGTGTGGGATGCGGGAGTTGAAGGCTGTTTCAAATTTTGATCTGGATGACATCCGTTACAAAATCGGACACAGTATTAATAGTTTCTCTAAAAAATGGTCCACTATAATGTAAGTCCCCGCAAAGGAAGATAATACTAGAGGAAGATGGTAGAGGCTTGAAATTTAGCATAACTTTTAAAGGAGTTTATCTCAAATTGGTATTATCTTTTTGTTGTTATCTTATTCCACCTTTAAATTAGGTTAATTTTGATGAATAAGTTGAGTTCTGCTTTCAGTGGAAGTAAAGACTCTTTGTTCACTATTTCTTTGTAAGGGTATTTTTCTTCTAGGTTTAAGTACAGTCAGTTACTTACTTTCTAATACTCAGCAGGGTGAACATGTCCCACCCGCGGGCGTACGTGGCAGTCTCGTCCCAGCCTGGTCTGGGTACCTGGGGACCAACAGTCCCGTGGGTGCTTCTGTCCTGCTCGGCCACCCACTCCCTCTCTTCCCACATTTCTGCTAATCTTAGGAAATAACTAGTATCTTTTAAACTACTTGTGAAACCTTATAAAATTGTAAGCTTTCTTAGAAGCTGTGAAACCTTACCCCAACAAAGATTTAAGTCAGTGTTGGGTGTGGTGAGCGTATGGTTTATTAATCCTTTAAAGATCACTTTCTTGAGTCAGAATCGTGAAGGGAAGCGAGACTTAGCCTCCTGTATACATCCTGGAGGAGCACTGGCTTCAGAAGAGTAAGTGGGATTGTGAAAGTCGAAGTCTGCAATCTGTACTGAAATATTAGATCCTAATTTTCATGTTGAGAGCTTTTAATTTGAATCCAAAACTGTAGCTTTTAGAGCTATTAACAGATAGACAATTAGGAGCTGTTTCCATTTTTTTCTGCTGCAGTCACGAGTTCTTCTCAGTCATACGAAGGGTGGCTCTTCTGGAACTGGTGTCATCTTTAAATCCACTGAATGAAGAACATTATTAAGGGTTCACCATCTGAGTTAAAATATAAACTCTGGCATCATCTGAAGTTGTTTAGTGTTTTCACTGAACTTTGTGTAAAGATTCACTTTAATTAAATGACACACCGGCTTGTGTTTTCTTTTTTGGATTTCTCATGTGGCACAGTCCTGGGACCTTTTGATATGTTAACAATCACTAGAGAGTCGGAATTATTTTACCAGTGGGAAGGGTTTGGAAAAGGCATTTGGTTCCTTTATTTCAGGACTTAGGGCGAGGTAGCTTTGCTTTGGTTCTTTCCAGGCATGATCCTGTGTGAGACTTGGGGGACGTGCGTCTCGTCCCCATCCCGCCTCCGGGCGCTTTGAGGGCAGCTGTGCCGGACAAGGACAGGCTGCCCCTCCCCAGTCTCTCCTCCCGATTTTGACTGAGATTTTGACTGAACGGCAGTCCACGCGGCTGCTCGTTGCGCCTTCCATGGGCCCGCTCACGTTAGAATCACCCCGCATGTTAGCTTGCAAGCGTACGACTGCGTGGGGATCGTGGGGGAGATGCGCGGTCGGTGCTGTACCGGTGCCTGGAGTGCTCAGGGCACGCAGACGCCCTCCACAAATCCACACTCCTCGCTGTGCTGTCCGGCACGTCCGCGCAGCCGGCGGGGGGGTCTGACGTAGCTGGAGTCCGAGCAGAGAGTCCTCGCCTCCTAATGGTTCTACTGCTTTTGAAGGTTCCAGGTGTGAGCAGCACAGTGTGGGACTCCGGGAGTGTGGATCTGTGGAGGCGCTGTGTTTGGAGGACTCGAGTTCCAAGTAAGTAACCAGGTTTCCTGCTGGCCCCGACTCTGGGAGATGCTCTGGGCTGATGTGACCCACGTCACGGCTGGGTATCGACAGGAGTTAGTTTTGTTTGGTTTTTAAGCGTAATCAGGAAATAGCTTTTTGAATTTATCCTTTAGTTGTCATCTGGTATCCTTAGTGTCTGGCAGTGGCCGAGGCAGGCGGATGAGGTGTACGCGTGTCAGGCGGATGGATAGGTAGACCGCGAGAGTGAAGGGTGTGTGCCTGCACGTGCGTGTGCTTGTGCTTTGAAAATCGCTCGTGCTGGTCCCCACGCAGGACTTCCACAACCCCCTTCGCAGCCCGTCTCGTTTGCCGGTGGGCGCATGAGTGTCTATTTCATAGAAGAAAAGGCTTTTCTTGCCAGAGTCTGTCCCAGATTAACTTCCTTTCTCTCATTATTGGCTACCAGGGGAAAATACTTAAAAGGTTTTTTTTTTTCCGAAGAAAATTAAGATGTCTCGCTGGATAAACTAATATGTAATGGATTTCGTGAGGTTTATTTTGATTGCCTGCGTTTTAGCAGAAGCAGAGTGGGGGTGGTGAAACGAGAAGTGAACGGAGATAGTCAGCTTCGTCCACTAGACTCTGGAGTTTGTCATTGCTCATGGTCACGTCTGATCCCTGTCTTCACCTGTCTCTTCAGTCCTGGGCAGGGACAGTGTCCTGGAAATTCTCTTGTGAGTTTTCATTCTACAGTAGCAGCAGCGACTGAGGGGGCGAGTTAACATTCTCACTCTTCTTTTGCTGGTGTTTCTCTGTATTATTCTGAAGAACCGGAGTATACTTGTGCATAAAACACTTGAAAACTAAGAAAAGCCTTATCGTCAAATTGGAATGAAAGGCCCCGTGATTTCCTTGATGCAATTTCAAAAGCTTAGGCAGTGGAGATGCTCATTATGCAGATTGGCTTCGTTGTGAAAACGTTCTTCCCTTGCCCTTAAAATTTGACGTCTCCGGCTTTTCCGCTGACCCACTATGTCCCCTCTTTTGTAGAACTGAATACTACAAGTGGAGGCCTTCCTTCAGCAACGCCGATGTCTCCGTCCGCCATCTCGACTCAGAACCTGGTCATGTCTTCGTCGGGCGTGGGAGGAGATGCCAGCGTCACGCTGACTCTGGCCGACACGCAGGGCATGCTGTCCGGGGGCCTGGACACGGTCACACTCAACATCACTTCTCAGGCAAGTGGCTCGAGGGAGGGGCTGAAAGACCCTTTCAGCAAGTCATCTTTGCAAACTTTGTTAATTTATTCTTTCCTAAATATATATTCTGAATTTGTTTCACAAAATTAAAGTGGCTTTTTTCCTGGTTAAAAAAGTAATACGTTAAATGTAAAAATGGGGAAAAAGAAATTTCAGACAGTCAAGAAAAATATTAAAAATAAAGTAAAAAAAAAGCCAAACCTTAATCCCACCACCCAAACAGAACTACAGTTAACATTTTAACATACATACCTTTCTAAACCTTTGTGTGTGTTCCTGCCTATATATACACACATATATACCCAGGTACACAGTTTTAAATTCTTACAGAAATAAGTTCATGTATATATCATTGTGTAAACTTTTTTCCCTCTTACTGTACTGTGAACATTTTCCCCGTCAATGATGTTAGCAATGCAAAACTTTTAGTTTTGAAAATAAGCTGTGTTGAGGGGCATTATATTGTATTCAAGGTTTGCATAAGTAGAATGGGAATTTTCATGCCCTTAATCATTCAGGTTCTTGGATGAATTCCCCCCAGTAGATAAGCCAGGTCAAAGGTTTGTCACAAAGGGCCTTACTGAGGGTGCAGATGAACAGATGCGTAGGGTGGGTGTGTGCCTTCCCTAGGTGCCACCTTCCAGAACCTCCACATGTTCAGCTATCTGGAAGGTCCAGGATGTGCCTTGAGCTGAGATGCTGAAAAACTTTTCAGAGTTTAATTAGAAGAGTCATAATGATAAATTACGATTAATTATAGTGAAGATTAATCATAGTAAAGCTATGTGAGAATTTGGTAGTCGACTGTAAAAAACTGTCCTTAGCTGATCCAAATTCTGATCCCGTGCATCTGTCCCTGGCTGCAACGATAGCAGAATGTGCCGCAGAGCTCAGCTCCTTCGTATTCCCTCCAGCAGAGCGCTTTCTCTGGTAGTCCTGTCTGCCGTGTGGGCTCACTATGCAAGAAAAACAGGATTTTGGCATCTAGAGCAAGATTGGTCCTAATCCTGTCACAGCCGCATGCTGGGGAAGTCAGCCCTTCCAAGCTCGAGCGCTCCTCCTTCGGGACACAGTGACATCTCCTCTGCCATGCGCCCAAGCAGTGTGCAGGCGGCTCCCGTCGGTGTGCGATGCTCACGTGCCCTCAGCAAACGGCCCTTCCGCGTCCCGCAGGTGGCCCCAGCACAGCTGCCGCCTTTCCTGAGGTGACACAGGCGCTGCCAGCAAGGGCCGTGTGCACTGGGGACAGCGCTTCCCTCTGGCCAGCCGGCACCTGGTGCAGCAACCCCCACGGGCCCCGCCACTGCTCCCAGGGACCCGCCGGCCAGCCTGCGACAGGCCGTGTCTGGCACCAGGAGCAAAGTGTGTCGTAGGTTATTCAGCTGAGCTCCTTCCTGAGCTTTGTGTGGTGAATAATTGTTTATATATTTTAATGCACATTTACTTGCTCTTATATGTTACTCAATATCTGTTTGTCACAACATTATTATTAACCTTCTAAATATTAAAAATTAGTCATGTATTTTAAAATTATAGTTGGAACCAAAGTAGCCATCTCAGGGTGTAAATGACTGGAGTATTTTTCCAGATGCAGGAATCTTGGTGGTTTCAGGGCGGGCTGGCCGGGCTTCGTGCTTTCCCAGCCTCCTCCCACGTCACGGGCCAAGTTGAGGCCGCCTGCCGTCCAGGGCCGGCTGGGGAGTAAGAGTCCTTTCACTTGCTTCCCGCTCAGAGACACTTCAGATCCAGGTACAGGACTCTGCAGGGTGACTGAGGGTTAGCTTCTCTTTCCCACCTTTTTATTTGCTGCCAAGGTACTGTTGTTATATTTACATGGTAGAGCAGTGAATGGAACCTTCACGTCCAGTTCTCTGGGAGAGCCCAAGGGCATGAGAGGCTTCCTGCTGCCCCAGCTTTCGCGTCTGGAGCCACCTTTGTCCTGATGCTCCCGTCAGCTTTCCGGGTCCTCTGTGCTTTTCTCACTGTATAACTTTAACTATGGTAGTTAAAAAAGTCGTCAAGAAGTGAAAATTAAAGTGTACATTTCAATCAAGTTAAATACCTTCGACTGGCTTTTGGGGATGGAGTTTGACCAAAAAAGCCAGAAAGGCATTTATGTCAGTGATGATGACATGCGTTTTCTGTATGGTGCCTTATATCACTTAGAGAATTACGCATTATAATTAAAGCAAAAGCTCGGTAAGTGGTTCTCAGCATGCAGTAGGTTAGATTTGCAAAGTCTGTCAGTGTTTGCTGGGATGCCAACGCTTCCTGTGCAGAGCCTGTGGCTGCCGGGCCCACGGCAGCCCGTGGGCGGGCAGGCTGCTGGGCGCAGGGGGGCGTGCTGCGCAGGGAGGTTCTCCAGGAAGGGCTGCAGTGGCCCTGGCACACAGCGATGGTGGCCGTGGGCAGCGTGGTTGTGGGGTGGGGGTGACGGATGGCCAGGCTGCTCCTGTGGCCCGTTTCTGGGTCCACGCCCCTCACCAACCAGCAGCCCAGGCTCTGTGGCTCCACGTCAATCCCTGGCTGTGGTGCATTCCAGTTCTTCCAGAAAACTGCGCCTGTCACAGTCCCCAGTGTCGGGGACGAGGCCTGGTATTCTTCACTGGCACGCGAGATGAGGTTCCTCATTGGCTGGACCTCGGCCGCCGCCCCTTCTGCTGTCTCCCTCCCACATGCCCTCACGGACTCTGCGCTCTGCTCGCAGAGCTGCCGGGAGACCACTCCTTGCCTCCTCTCCCTAGACTACCCGTTGCACACCCTCCCCCGCCTGCCTTCTGGGGTCCCCGGCGCACCGGGCACCCTGCGCCTCCCCACCCGTCCACTCGGCCTGGGCCCCCCATGGCTTGTCCAGCTGTGAGCAGCGAGAGCCCAGCGCGGTGGCGACTGCGTCCACCAGGTGCACTAGCAGTTTCTGTTGAGCGTTGGCGGGTCAAGCCGGTGCCATAGATTCTTTTCTACACTTTTAAGAAATTATCAAATACAAGGCCAAGTGTAGTGGCTCACACCTGTAATCCTAGCTCTCTGGAAGGCTGAGGCGGGCGGATTGTTTGAGCTCAGAGTTCGAAACCAGCATAAGCAAGAGTGAGACCCCATCTCTACCAAAAATAGAAAGAAATTAATTGGACAACTAAAAATATATAGAAAAAATTAGCCGGGCCTGGTGGCGCATGCCTGTAGTCCCAGCTACTCGGGAGGCTGAGGCAGGAGGATCGCTCGAGCCCAGGAGTTTGAGGTTGCTGTGAGCTAGGATGACGCCACGGCACTCACTCTAGCCAGGGCAACAGAGTGAGACTCTGTCTCAAAAAAAAAAGAAAAAAATTATCAAATACAAAATTTTAAACCCCAATTAATAATGTATTCTCCAAAAAGTAATTTTAAAATCTCCAATAGAAATTGTGTAGCTTTATTTGAATCTCTCTTCTATTAGCTGACAAACTTTATTAGTCTTACAATGATTTAGTACTCTGAAAACATGAAAAAAACAGATCAAACCTTTCTTAGTTTTATTCGTGATATTTTTCTAAATATAATGAATCTTTATATAAATAAAGTCACCATTTTGTTAAGAGATTAATGAACCTATAAAAAAAGTCTGTAAATGTGTTAATTATTATGATTGTTTATGATCATAAAAATTTGACCTGACGATTAGAAGGTGGTCAAGAGAAATTAACGAGTTTCTAGTGATAATTGTTCAATATAGGAAAGACTATTCACTAAGAGATGAATATCGATTGGTTTAACATTAGTCCCTTAAAATGACACATGCTCCTTGAATTTAATGGGAAATGAATTAATAGCACTGGGAGGGGCTCACACGTGAAGAAATCAAGTTGTTCAGTGTTATTCTGTACTTAGGATTTGTACACAGCACATGAAAAAAATCAGAATCTCCCCCAAGGAACTAAAAGGAAACAATAATGTAAACATTTAAATTATTATAAAATTTAAAATGATATAGAAGTAACATTATGTTTATTATATATTATTTTTGGTTTTTTTCTTTATAAAGTCCATAAAAGAAAATGGTTCTAAAAACAAAGAAAGGTGGCCTTAAAATAGTTTAATTAAATAGTATTCTTAAATAGCTTATGTCCAATGAACAAAGTTAAATCCATAATAACAAAAAGTTTGGAACAAATATGTTTCTGTAAGTCCCTAATTAATCCTAATTTAAAATTTGAAAATGGCCTAATTATAGAAGAATATTATGGAGGTAAATATAATTCTAATTAAAAGAAAATTAGTTTATTTTTAAATAAAATTCTGTTGAAGAAAAAGTTAAAATGCAGTGATAAGAAACACATTTATAATAAAAAGTAACTTTGTGAGGAAATTATTAAACAATTTCTTTTTTAATTGCAAACTTGAGATGATTTATTCTTTCCAAATTTGGGACTGTTGAGGGGTGAGGAGGATCTGGTTGGCCACTTAACTCTTGACAGTTTTATAAGGAAGTGTAAACATGCCTGCAAAAAAAATCCACTCAAGAAAGCAAAATGATTTTCAGTTCTATTCTGAATATAAAAAATAATTTACTTGTTCATGAAGGGAATTCTATTTTACATGAATTCTTGTATTTTTTTAAAAAAACTCTATTGATAATTGGCCAAGTGTAAAACATTTAAAACTTGGTATTTAGATGTATAAATGTATTTTTTTTTACTTTTAATAAAAAATCAAAATTTGTGGGGTGAACCAGAAAGTAACAAGCCTTATTAAAGGCTCCTAATGAGAAAATAAAAGTCTTATTAAAGACTCCTAATGAGGCCAATTCTAAAGTAACGAATTTCATTGTAAGTGTAATAACTAGGATTGTCTGGCCGTGCTGCTTAAAGCGTTCTTAATTTTGTGCATTTCTTAGCTTTCATCTTCTACAAGCCTTCACAAGGGAGCTCATGCTCCCCTTGTTAGCTACTTCTACCCCTCCTAATTCCAGCTGCCACTCTGATCTTTCTTTAATTTTGTCATTTTAG